TATCGTCGTATTCCGGTTTGTGCTTGTGTTTAAGGTGGTGGAACAAATTAGTCGTGTTACTGTTCTTTGTATGCACTATTTGTTTGCAAACCTTGCAGGTGGTAAATTGCTGCTCCGCGTCAGACTTTTTACTTCCGCCATTGTTGTCAATATTCCACACGTTGGGCTGCGAGTGTGTCGCACACTTACAAACGTCATCAATGGGAATTTATCGTTTTTATCGTGGGTAAAAACGATATATTGTAAACGATAACATATCGGCCATCCCTAGTAAACAGTAGGTACAACCTTTGTGTAATCAGTGTGTCGTATGTTTGATGGATTCAAATAAAAATGGTTGTCTCACCTGCAGCAGGTAGAACAGGTGTTGGTAGGCCTCCAGTCTCTCTCTCCTCTCTCTGCTCAGAGCCTTTAGTCCTTTACTCCTCTCCACATCCATCATGTCTGACAGCTGCTCCTTGTTCTTCTTTGTCAGTTTCTTACAATGAGACACCACTTCCTGTCCACAGACAGAGAGAGAGAGAGGGTCATTAACACTAATGAGGACGAGACACAAACCCTAACGAGGTAGGTACAACATCAGGTTTCTGTAATCTGGGCAGGTTAAAAACACCTTTCAGATCACCGGAGTAAAAACTGATTTCTGGACTGAATCTTTTTCCCTACCTGCACAGAGTAATCAATACCTGTAGAGAGTAATCAATACCTGCAGAGTGGCTCTGTTTCGGACCAGCAGTCCGATCTTCAGGTCCATCAGGTGCAGGTCGGCCTCCAGCTGTCTGTTGAAGCGGATGCTTCTCACCACTTCCTCTCTCTGACGCAGAAGCTCCGCCTCCTCCTTGATGTCACCGTCGCCAAGGTCGAGCAGGTGAACGAACTTCCTGACCACCGACAGAGGGGGCATGGCCGAGTGCACTGAGACAGGTAAGGGGGAGGGGCTTAATGATGCCTTATAGTAAACCATGAACTCCTGTTAAAGTGATCAATAACCTCAGTAAATTACCCAGCATCCTGTACTGCTCTCGGGCCCGGTTGGCTCTGAAGAAGGCCTGGATCTTTATGACAGCGCCCACCTGTGGACACACACAGTCACTGCAGGATACTG